AGGTGGGAGGAGGAAGTTCGGACAGGCTTGGGCTGAGGCGGACCGGTGTGGTATGTATGGCAAGGTCCAGCGATGGTGGGCGGGGTGGAGAAGAAAGAGCGGGTGGCGCGAACCTTGCTCGAGGAGCCGGGACAGGGCGGGAGAACAGAGAACACCTCTGGTCCTGGCAGGATAGGTACGAATGGGAAGAGACCTGTGCCTGCGCCTGAGCCTGTGCTCGTGCCTGAGGGTTGCAGTGAAAAAGGTCGACAGGCCCTCGAACACCGAAAAGTACCTCACCAAGCCAAAGTTGAGGTGAACCAAACTTCACACACTGCTCGCTTGAACCCCCGTGCAGTCCTGCAGTTGCAGTCGGTGCAGCAGCAGAGCGTGGTGACCGGGGGAGGGCGTCCAAGGTCCACGGGTTGCAGTCGCACAGCGGTTGAGCACGCTAGAATCCCCCACCTAGGCTAAACCCAAGGGAACCTAGTCAAGCCGTCCAAGGCGAGTGACAGTGGAGCGTTTGTGACTGACGGACACACCAGTAGCGGCTCGAGACAGGTCCAGAAGCTCGCCAGCGCATGTGGCAGAGTGGAGTCTAGGGTGAGCGTAGTCTCGTTTTGCGCCGAGAGACCCTAAGGATGCAATGTGCGGTGAGATGCGCAAGGTAGGAAGCGCCTTGTTGAAGGAGGAGACTGAGGATCGTCTGCCCCGTCTGCCACTGGGACTGGGCCCGGTTGAAGTCGTGGCTTGTAAACTGTCCAAACCCGATCTCTCTTCTTCGCAAGGAATCCTGGAGAAGAAGCTACTTTGAAGTTTGAGTGAAATGGGTGGCGGCGTGTGAAATGGGGTTTGGCGACTGCAGTAGTTGTATGTACTCCAGATACACTGTGTCGTTCGTTTGGTGTAGTTATTCGATGGACACGACAGGAGTGCAGGTACGGCGAATGATGGAGCAGCGAACGACGAGGGTGCAGAGTCCGAAAGGAGCGATGGAAGCAAAGCAAAGCAATAGCTTCGGGCTCCCGTTGGTTGATCCGTTCGTTCGCCAGCTGCAAAGCAAGGTACGCCGCGCGTGAAGTCTGGGAAGCGCGCCGGACTAGGTATTGGGTTGGTCAAGACAAGCAGCCGATGCAGGTCACCGTAGTAGGTATGCTTGGTGACGGAGAACTCAATAACACCAACGAGACGACTGGTCTTTCTTGGGTGTCGGACGACGCAGAGGATGTAGCAGATGCCGCGAACGAAAAGCTCAAGCCACGACTAGTAGGGCTCAATCGTAGACGGGCTGATGCAACGGACGAGACGACAGTCGAATGAACAAAGCAGATTGGGAGTCCGGATAGACAATGGCAAGCCTCAAAGAGACTCACAGAGAGACGGTCGAGACGATCAGGCCGCTCGGTTTGTGGGGCAGTGAGACAAGAAACCAGACGATGCTGCCGAAGCTGGATGTGCGTGCAGCAGCTTCGTGCTCGCTATCTCGTCTTGGGTAGGGCGCGTTTGCCCTGCGTCTGCGGTGCTTGTTGGTGCGAACTTGCGGATGGTGGTTCTCCTGGCCACAGCCTGTGCGGCGGTTTGCGCTCGGTCGTCTGCGACCGGGGCAGGGAAAGAAGGGAGGCTGGTTTCTGCGTCTGCAGCCAGCAGGCTTGATTAATGTCTGCCGGGAGTGTCGTTCTTGGGACGAACAGAGCCTCGAAGTGCAGCGATTGAGCGTTGAGCAAGCCACAAAGTGGATAACGGGTGTTGGGGATGGTCGAAGATGAAGACTGGATGATGGCCAATGAACCAGAAAGCGTCCTCAAAAGAGTGCCAGTTGGCTAATGTGGCACCGATGACGGAGAAGAGTGTAAGACGTGACGAAAGTCGGATAAGTGAGCGAACACACGGCTTGGTCGTGTTGCTGAAGTAATATTCTTAGATGGGCTGTCAACCTTGGTTGAGCCGGTAATTAGGAGTTTGAGTACGGAGTACGGATAGTAGGTGAGCACGAGGTGAAGCGTTGGATTTGGCCGGTGAAATCAAGGTGAGTGTGACGGGCGGGAAGCGACTCATTGGCATCACAAATTGACAATTGTGGGCGGTGACGTCCGTCCAACCCAAGTTGAGAGAGAGAGAAGCGGCGGCGCATGGGTGGGGGGAGGAGTGTGTGGAGTGTTCCAAGAAAAAAGAGACGACGGATGAAACTGATTTGAGTGCGATCCGTGCGAGAGCTGTGGGAACTTTCACGACTTGGAGTGCTGAGAGGAAGGGGAGAAAAAAATCAGACATCCGATGGCCGATGGTCGACGGTGGCCCAGATGTGAACTTGTGAAGTGCGGAAGCGACGCGTTCAAGACGCGGCTAAACGCGTCTTTTCGCGTTGAGTGGGTCAACTCACTCGCTAAAGTGGATACTCGCCTGGTATGTATGAATTTTCATTGGCCAGTCAGACCCACCAGGGCACCATCTGCTGGGCCTGCTCGATGTGCTCTTGGCAGTTATGGTTGGCACTTGCCTCTTGGTCCACCACCACCTGGAAGGAGAAGGCACCTCCTCGTCTGTTCCTCCCCCCGATCGGTCTTTCCTTGCTCCATCATCCATGAACGGGAATCTGCCAGCTGAAGTCCCAGAGTCTGGACCTGCCGCACCACAAAGTGCATGAAGATGCGATGCCAGGATCACCGAGCAGAAAGCGGCTGTGCGGGAGGAGCGGGGAACAGAACACGAACAGACGAGAGTTCCCAGCTTTGCTCACTTCCATGCTACCTAATTACAACTTTCCAAGGGCCACCAACTACCGCCAACTCTTGACCCATTGACTGAATCATGAATAAGGGGCCGGATCTCTCCTCCGTACTCCGTCGCTCTTCGCCGTCGGCTCTGACTCCCATCCTTTGTGCCAGGGGCAATCGTTAGCTGGGAGCTACTTGGGAAAGACTTTTCATTCCATGACTTTTTCACCAATGTCTAAGCTGCAATACGACGGACGACTACAGATACCTGAGGCAAACGAATCCTGGCCGAGACTAACATCAGCTTGCACACGCTCTTACAACGGCGCCGGCATAGAAACAGAGGCTGGGGAACAGGCTCTCTCCCAAGTCTATTGTACCCAAATCCATGTACGATGCTGGGTAGGGGTGGCCACTGATGGATGATACGAACAAGTCCCGCGGCTGGCGCGAAACACACGAATAGCATCACCGTATGCTGCGTCGCGTTGTGTGTTGTGTTTTGTTGTACGGATACTGTGCTGCTATACTTCTGCCCCTAAAGCTTGCAATCGCTGCACTTGGCCCTCGAGCCAATCGAAGCACAACATGGCGCGTTCGATAGCTGCGAATGCCTGCCTGGCCCTGCACGACGATGGGGTTTGGGATGCGGTGAGCCCGTCTAGGTAAGGTTCTTAGGGGCGGCAAGAGTATCAGCACGGGTATCTATGGCCTGGTCGATACTCTCCAACACTCTTATCATACATACCTATGGGCAGGGCATGGTCAACTGCAAGCAAGGCTTCGTCTAGTGCGCCGAGTATCATGGGCTCTGCACCCTCCATGAGCTCAAAACCATGGGCCACCAATCTCTGGCCGGAGAAATGACAGGAGGCCCGCCCCGGGATCAGCGAGTCTACTGCGACGCTGCAGCTGAACGCTTCGGGATCCGCAGAGGTGCGTTATTGCAAGAACGGCGGGCTTTTCATGCAGTGTCCATGTTTTCTCTCTCGTCCTATGTCTGGGAACATTGGCTTTCGAAGACACTACGGCAAGACAAGATGAGCTCATATACCTTGATCACCAGTATTCAAGTTCACCGCGGCTCAGAATCTTGACTTTCATCCGAGTTCTGTGTGCAGTAGGTGGTGCACCGCGGCATGCACAGAAAAGGTCAGGCTAAAGTCGTTCCCGTCCAGACGATCAAACCGTCCGAGTCAAACGAAACGGCCACCCCAGAGGGAACTGAACAACTGTCAACGGCTTCGGTGCAACGTCAAACCTAGAGGCTAGAAGACCTTGGGCTTTGCGCTGGCCCAATCAAAACATAGCCTACCAGACAGTCTTGGCACTCTGCGTGGCACCGGTTCGGTTGTCCGCTGCGAGATCCAAGCAGCACGAACCCGGGGATGCTGTGTTGTGGTGCGCCAAATCCCCTGGTCTAGGCCGACGTCGCGAGCATTGCGATTATTCAACGACGTGATCAGACGGAAACATTCAGTGTAAGCTTGGCCACCAATGCACAACGGGTTGTGCCTGGGCCGTGTCTTCACTACTATCTGCCATCCGAAATCACGCTTCGGTGCCCGTGATGATGAAACAGGTACGGCTAAGTCGCCAGGCTGTCTCATTGACCCTCAAGACTATGTAGGTAGTGATTCCTGGTCGTGAGACGAACCGACAAGGGGCAACACTTGAGATCAGCAGCAGTAGGAAAACCAAGCCATGAAAGTTCGCGGCCTATTCTATTTCAGCCTCAAAGCTGGTCAGGCGGCAGCCATTATTCACTTAAACTCGACTACAGACCTCACTACCGCCACAGAGAAATAGCGTTTCTCGTCGCATGTTCCTGTTAGCGTGCGCCGAACGCGAATCCCACGATACTCTGTGTTCATCGCTCGATAAAGGACATGTCGAACCAGTACCTCTCTGCAACCTGCGATTGCCAGAGTTCTCACTTATTCGGCATCTTATAAATTTCATGACGCTCAGAAAGGGACAGAAGATCCAGGGGCATTGCGAGACTGCTGAAGAACGTCGGTAAAGATGGCATCTCGGACTAGCAGCCTGTCGAGCGCGCTATCGCCAATCCTATCCCTTTAATAGCTGTCGATCAACGCCATGCCATTCCGAGAACGACTGAGAAACGCCACATTTCTGGCTCGTTCAGCCAGGCGCGAAGCTTTCCATTCCACTCGTTTCGCCCTCGATAGCTGGCTGGGCGTTTTTCCTTTGAGAGAGTCGCCTCTTCCGCCTCCTCATCAGCGAGATGGTTTCCTCAATTTTTCTCATCACGGCAGCAGCTCCAACTGCATCGATTAGCCCATCATGCTCGGCTCGACATCTTTATCCCAGCTCATGAAGCTCGTGGGGCCGATGCTCCTTATTCTCTGGTCAGTATGGTACTTGGGAATATCACGGCAGCATGTACAGACAATCACCCGCAAGTTCCGCAATCAAAGGGAGCTATTCATCAAAGATTTCCTCGAGCACGAAGTTGACGGACGCTTCGACGGCGCGGCTATCCAAGGCCTGTGTGCCAGCAAGAAATGGACAAAGGGATTGATGATGGGCTGCGATGCAGCACCAGGTGGGATTGGTGAAGTGCGGAATGCCCACTTGCACTGCATTCGCTTTGCGATCGAGGCAGGAGGTAAGCATGTCCCTTGGATAGAATGCGGGTTTCTGGATGATGATTTCATACTAATCGATGCCAGCGGAGTTGATCCTACCCGAGATCATACCTCGTTCAGAAGACGACATCAAGAACATTAATGGACGGCCCGCCGTGCCTCTCGACTACTACTTCGACGCAGCCCACCTCAACCACGTTCTCCGGACGTATTGTCCTCAGATGAGAGTACACGGGTCGATGAACGACCTGTACGACGTGCCGGAAGTTTTCGAGGCCCTCCAGTTTAGTATCGCGGATACGAACAGCAACTGGGTCAACGGCACCGTCCTAGCCGAGCCCTCGGACTGGAACAAGCAATTCCACGACTTCATCAACGAGAAGTCACCCCCCGCAGAAAGGGTATACCCCTTCCGCACCCATCTCAAACATACCCTGTGGACGTGGCCGACGGCACGTGACAAAGCGCCCGTGGCCTCTTCGTTCGGACGCATGCTTCGCATCCGCCCGGATGCCCGGCGCCTCGCGGCCTCGGCGCTCTTCAGCCTCGAGTCCCGCTTCCAACTTAATCTCGACCCGCGGACGCGGTACCACCCGTCGAGCTTCGTGGGCGTCCATCTACGCACCGAAGAGGACGTCAACGAGAGGTTCCCGGACTACACGACGCAGGCAGCCAACTACCTGCACTACCTCTCCGAGTCGGAGTCGAGCGTCGCGTTCCTGGCCTCGGGCGCCACCGAGACCAACATCACGGCGTTTGTCAACCGTGCCGAGGACTTCAACGTCACGGTCGTCACCAAGACGGATATCTTGGACGACGAGGAGCAGGAGGCGCTGGAGGCGCTGACGTGGGACCAGCGTGGACTGGTCGACTACGAGATCATGCTGCGCGCCGGCATGGTGGCGGGCGTCAGCGCGAGCAGCTTCGCGTGGAACCTTGCGCTGCGGCGGTCGTACGCCTTTGGGCAGGGTCCCATTGGCGTGCCGCTTGAGCCTGGCGAGACGATTTCGTGGAAGGACGAGTATACCACGCTGTACGGACGGCACGAGAACGCGTACGCCATGAGGGCGACGGTATGGCCGTGAGATGTTGACGGACAAGGGAGGGGAAAGCATTAATGATAAGTGCGTTTTGCATGACGTGAAGGGGACCAATGGAAACGAGGATTGAAACAAACAATACGGCAGCAGTTCGCGAATATCTAAACAAAGATGTCTGGACGCTTATGGGTAGTGGTGGTCTACGGGCGTTTCTGTCATTTACCCCATCTACAATGCAAGGGATATCATATCAGTCTCATGTCAGATGTCGTCTTGGGATGTGTGTGCACATGCCTACAAGCCCGCTACACTGTGATGTTCTTCGTCTCAAATCACGCCGTTGGTTCCTTCTCGTAGCCCGATATCATATGGTCCTTACAGCTCTTCATTACTATTCGGCGAACGATTGCTTTTGTAAGTTGTCAAGAGGTCGTTATTGTCAAGTTTGATCAATGGTTGGATGGCATCATTAGGTGTTTGTTCACCTGCATATCCGGCTTTAGTGTGGTGAGCTTTACCTACCCAGGCTTTTTTTTTTTTTTCAACCCGACGTTGGCCGAGCCATCTCGATTTCCCGTCCGGTGCATCCCAACTGCAAACGACGAGTCGCTTCGGGTCCGGGTTTGAACCCCTCGTTTCGGTCAAATACTTGTCCTTCTCATGCCGATGATTGCATAGTACGGTAAGGATACATGTCGACTGCTAGATAGCATGAGCAGGGTCTGCTTGAAAAGGGAGAGGGAAAAGACGGCTGCTAGAGTTCAGGTTGTCCAGGCAAACGTATTGGCTTGTTCAGTTCACTCATTGACTCGTGTGAAGGGACACGGCAATGTTTGTGTAACCATACTTGCCATGGTATGAAGCAGAGCAGACAAGCCGCCCCCCGTGCCAATTATCCGCGAGGGACCCCGCCACGCTACCTCACATCACCTATTACCCCTCGTTCGACGTTCGCCAAGCGAGCCGTCAATGACTGACAGGTGAAAAAGACAGGCAAGGAAACGGCAGGCAAGCGGCGACCACGGCTGCTGACCCGCATGAAGCGACGCATCCAACTGCAGTAGAGGTGCGTCCCTCTTGCGTAGCGCAGTGCTCCAGACCCCCGTCATGTCAGTCAAGGCAGTGGTAACCCCCGCCGTCACGCGACTACGTGACCCGCCTCACGCTTCTCGGCTCTGGGGCCAGGACCGTTCTAGATGTCTGAAATATCATGATGGGGGAGCACGAATTGGGCCATTAGTGAAAGAAAATATGATCCGGTTCCAGTTGCGTTGGTTGTTGGTTCGTATTTTGCGTAAACCTGGTTGAGGATATGTCGTGAGATGGATGAGGCAGGTGGGGGAGGGGGAGAAAGATGAGGGGTGAAGTCAAAATGGGACGAAATGGTTTCTACTACTGTGTATTAGTTGCGCAGCGTGCCCAGGGGGGTCTTCTCGCGGATGTAGGCTCAGCGTTGCTAGCTCCGTGTAGACCCAGAGCTTGGTATCCATCTCAAGGAGATCCATGGATCCTTGCGGGCTTTTTTCTTTTGCTGCTGTGAAGGCACAGAGTGAGTGAAGTTGCTTTCTGGATCGTCCCCTTGCGTTGCTCATCTTCACGTGGCCGCCTCAAACTAACGTAGCACTGTAAGTAGCTGTCGTGAGCTGCATGATACGGACCAGGTATGAATATTACGCATTACTACACAGTAGGTTAGTCTAGAGACACGGGCTGCGTCTTTTGGTCAGACTCGCAGCTGAGGTTTTCCAGGTTTCCGGGGCTCCAATTCCAAAACGCATGCCACTCACTCACTCACCTCACTGAATGAGAGAGAGAGTGAGAGACGGGAAGTGAGAGAAATGTGCCGCTGCCCATGGCAATAAATCCACACGCGCAACACGCTCCGTTTTCGTAAAGTACACATCGATGCCTTCCCCGTCGTTCTCCCCCCTCACATGCGCCTCTCTCCTCTTCCAATCCTTTCTCTCACTCAGTCACTCTCACCTTCACTCTTATTACTCACTCATCCTCAGCCCACTCTCCCCGAATTCCAGCAGACTGACGACCTACCTTACCGTACGGACGCACTGAACCACTCTCAGCTCTCTGTCTCTCCGTGTCTCGCCTTCCGTCACTCAGCCAGCCGTTCGCATCTTTTGGTACTTTTGCAAACTTACCTACCTGCTACATTATATAATCCTTCTCGCCCCGGCCCGGCACTCCTCTCTCTCCCCCCCACAGACAAGAACCGAGAAAAGAGCGTTCGAATCCTTTCAGATACATACTCTGTACTCCGTACACACACACCTTTCGTACCGAGAAAGAAAAAAGCAATAAAGGCAAATGTTGGTTGCCGACATCCGCGGAAATCCCTCTGCACAGCGCCTACTTTGAGCAAAGATACCACCCAACCATCCGCTCTCTTTTCTCTCGCTCTACGTTACCTTACCTCACTCACTCTACCCTTTTCCGCCCCCAGGTCCCCTCCCCCTCCCCCTCCCCTCCGATCAAAAGACTATCGGCTTCGCGCCTCCCGCTGCCAGCCATGGCTACCAGCGCTGACATCATCACGCTTGACAACTTTGAGGAGCTGCTGCCAAGATGGGACCCCGCAGGCTCCAATCACCTATATGCGATTGTTGATATGGGCAGGTCAGTACCTAAGCTTTTTTGTTTCCCTCTTCGGTGCAACTATCCGCACAGATTCGTTTATGTCGAGAATTTCTTTTTCCTTCTGTTTCTGCCGGATCGCCCTCCGGGATTGCCTCGCCGATGGGCAAAATCTGGGGAAAGCCTGTCTTGTCTGTCTCTGCCTGTGCTTTTGAGCCTCAATTCTCAAGGAGCACACATCTCTTTCTCATTGACACACCATGGCGGCGGGCAACGTCAGCCGGACCACGTCTTTAGTTCCCGCTTCTCCTAAAAATAAATGCACCATGACAAGAACAAAACACCGGTCTCAAATACTGACCCGAGCCACCGGCCCCACCGAATAGCAACGGCATCCGCTTCTCCATCTCGGACCTCACTCCTCCCCAAACCCGCCTCCTCCGGCCCATCTACCGCGAACGCGCCGGCATCTCCCTCTTTGACGCCCTCAACTCCGCCTCCACCGCCGCCTCTGAGCCCCTCACCTTCCCCCCGGAAACAATCACCCAGGTCGCAAAGACCCTAGCCCGCTTCCGTCGCATCGCCGTCTCCTATGGCGTTCCGCCCGCCCACTTCTCCGTACTCGCCACGGAGGCCATGCGCCGCGCCGCAAACGCCCGCGACATGCTGACGGCCATCCGCGAGGCCGCCGACATTGGCGTCCATGTCTTGGCCCCCGAGGTCGAGACTCTCTTCGGCGCCGTCATGGGATCGCGGTCTGCCTTCGTCGACGTTGCCCGCGGCGGCCTGTTCCTTGACCTCGGCGGTGGCTCCGTGCAGATGACCTGGGTGGACACGCGGCTGCCAGACTACGAGGTCGCCGCCGCCAAGGCGGGTGAGAGCATGCCGTTCGGCGCCGCGAGGCTGATTCGCATCCTCGAAGGGCAGTCGGAGGAAGTACGCATCCAGGAGAAGCAGAAACTCAACGCGAGCATGCAGGGCGCCTTTGCAAAGTTGTGCGACAAGTTCCCCGCGCTCGCGCAAGCAAAGGCGGATCACGACGCTGCTCATTCCTCCTCTACCGCCGCCACCACGAACGGCAGCAGCGTGGTACCCGGCGGCATCGACGCCTACCTCTGCGGCGGCGGCTTCCGCGGCTACGGCTGCATGCTCCAGCACAACGACCCGATCCAGCCGTACCCGATCCCCTCGGTGGGCACCTACACCGTCACGGGCGACTTCTTCAAGCAGACGGACAAGATGCGGCGCGTCAACCGCGAGCACGAGGGGAAAATCTACGGCATGTCGAAGCGCAGGCGGCAGCAGTTCCCCGCCATCATCGAGGTCGTCGAGGCCTTCATCCGCACGGTACCGCACCTGCGCACCGTCACCTTCTGCGGCGGCTCCAACCGCGACGGCGCGCTGCTGATGAAGCTGCCCAAGAGCGTGCGGGAGAGCAACCCGCTCGAGGCGCTCGCCGGCTTCCCCATCCAGGGCCACGAGGAGAGCGAGGGGGCGGGAAGCGGCGGGGACTTGGCCGTTGCGCAGGCGATCTTGAGGACGCTGTACGGCGCCGTGCCGAAGAATGTGGACGTGTCGCGGACGCCGACGGTCTTCTCGCTGGGCCTGGGACCGCTTTTTGCGAGGCAGGTTTGGATTCACCAGGGCGAGGACGACGATGCGAATGCCTCGTATGCGCTTCACGAGGCTGTTACGCGGGACCCTAGCGCGCCTGGGCTGACGCACCTCGCGAGAGCGGTGCTTGGCCTGACGGTGTGCGCGCGGTGGGGGTCGAACTTGGGCCCGATTGATGCGCAGCTGTACGGGAACCTGAGGGGTCTCGTCGCGGAGGCGAAGCTGGAGAGCGTGTTCTGGGCAGAGTATCTTGGTGCCGTGGCGGCTGTCATGGTTGATCTCGTGCCCGCGTGGCCTACTAGTGTCGAAGAGCTCGAATCGACTTTGAGGTATGTGGTTAATCAGTTTCTCTGGGTGGCTTGGATATAGGCGATAATGAGAGCTACGGAATCTTTTTGCGGAAAACAAATACTGACAACAGTACACAGATTCGAGGCTACGCAGACGTCGGACCCCGAGAAGAAGAGGGCGAGCATCGATCTGACCGTCCATGTTGCCCCCGGCGCTGCGGTCGGCATCGATCCCGCGGACGTCATGGGTCGGTTGGCGAATGTTGGTAAGAAGCGCAAGGACGGGACGAAGCCGGACAAGAAGGTTTCGGTCAAGATTGTGGAGATGAAGTAGTAGTTAATAGTGTTGCTTGTCCGTTGTTTTGGGTTGTTTTTTTGACGAGTCGATGAATCTTATGAAAAGATACCCCCCTCAACTTGGCCGTTGACTTCACCTCGCTCCTGGCAACTGATATCGCTCTCATTTAAGGTCTTGTTAATGGTACCGCAATGCTCACGTTGATGATAGGATTTCTACATTATGATCCCAGAGCATGATAAGTTCTCCGTATGTGGCCACGAAGTTTCGTTTCTAGGCTGGTGTAGTAAAAAGGGGGATAACGAAACATCTGCTCTTTTTGAGAAGAGCCCAATTGTCTTGACTTAGCCACCCGTTCTAATTATGTTGATTAGGTATGTAACTATTACCGGCCATACCTACCGCTATGCGCAATGGATGATTGTTCCTATCGCAATACCCGGTTTCCTGCGAGCGCAGAGATCCTGCGATTACCATTGCCCAGACGAACATTCGTACAAGGAAGCCGTTAATATTTTCTGGCCCGTCCCAAACCCTGATTTTTCTCCTGATTAAATGCTAGTGATTTCACAGTGGCTTCTACGGTATCTGTGTAACGCCGGCGGTTGTAGTGGTGCCGTACGCCTGGCTGGCAGTAGCACGCAGTCATTTTGGCCACACAGCCCAGTCAACTTGGTTGCAGTCATAAAGAAGAGTGCCATAAATACAAGTGTTTCTGGTCGAGTTCTATGTTTCCTTCCTTTGAGAAATGTTCCAAGCATTTGGAGCAGCTGTTCATGAACTCGTTCCTTTGTTACCAGTGATTCAGTGCACCTTTTGACTTCAACCCCCAACATTCTCATTCAAGTCAAGGCTGGGTTGTTTTTGATGGTATGTATCGGCGTCGAGCGTCTGTTCCATTCACCAAAGTCGCTAGAAGAGATTTCCACACCTTAAGAGCAGGCCTCTTCGTTATCGCATAGAACGCTTCAACCATGCACAAATTTCTCTTCTCTCTACGGCAACATCTTCAATGGTACCCAACCCCTCTCTCAGGACGGAACTGCTCCGCCACCAAATCGAAACCAAACCTCACCCCAAAGCTTCAACTGAAAGACTACCCGAACCTCGCCCTCCACCGCCCACGGCGGCAGTACAGAGTAGACCAGTACGCCCAAAACCACGACCGAGGGCGGTGGCAGTAGTGCAGCCCGTGCCGCCGTGGTGGATTGACGCAGACGGGGATGTGATCATGATAGACATACTGAACGTGGAAATGCGCAGTAGCTGGGTGTTTGACATGGACGGCGATGTCATAATGGGAGGATGCGGGGGGATGGGGTGGGAAGCGCGGCCGCCGCCGCCCGTGCTGGTTCCGGTGCCGGCTGTGGTGGTGCCGGACAAGACGGTGAGGCCGGGGTGTCCACTTCCACCGCGACCCGCTCCGCGGCCGTATGCAGAGGTTCGGCACAGCCTTGCGATTCCATGTAACTGACGGCGAAGCGCCCTCCAACTCATGCATGCTACAACACGGCGCGAAGAGAACCAATGAGCAGTGGCAATAATATCTGAAATGAAGAACATGACTGGGCAGTGCCATCTCACCATACGTGCTGGCTTCCTAGTTAGTAGGCACCGTACTTAGATAGTCTCTCTCCCCCAACACTTTTTTAGAGCAGCCGACCCTCCAGTCCTCACACGTATCGCGAGAAGCAGATGGATTGACCGTTATGGCGGATCTAGGCCAATTCTCTCTACCTAAGATTCAGCACTCTATTCATCACTTAGGTAACATAAATCAAACCCCTCTCTATGTAGCGTTTTTTTCCCCCGGCTTCACAGGCGCAAAAGATCGACCTCTTTTTTTTTCAATTCTTCTCTATATATCACATTAGCTAACTTTGTGCTTGACCTACAGACAATAACGAACCAGGCGTGCGCCCGCCCTTGCAGGATCCAGCGAGACACATACGATTATTCACCCTCTGGCCAGGGACACATGAGAGTGCGATCCAAGGTGTGTTCAGTGTGGCTGCCCTCGACGACGCGCCTCATTACCAGTGTATATCATACGTTTGGGGCGATGCATCGGATACCAAGGAAATCACAGTGGACGGGGAAGACTTCAAAATTGCGGTATCTCTATTCTCGGTCCTACGGCGCATCAGATCTGAGCAAGAATATCTCACCGTGTGGGCCGACGCGTTATGCATCAATCAAGACGATCACGAGGAGAAGCGCGTGCAGGTCGACATGATGTTCAACATCTATAGCAAATGCAGCAATTGCTTTCTCTGGTTGGGAGAGGTTGACCTCCTCGGCGGGGAATTGAGTCTGGACGCTGCTCGCTATGGCTTAGACTTCATTGAATTCTGCGACGATACAGACTTGGAAAGAGAAGACAATGGCTTTTCGACGGCTGAAGGGTTGAATAAAATTCGTCTCACCTTTCAAAGTCTATTAAAATGCCCGTGGTGGCGGCGAATATGGACAGTTCAAGAGTGCGTCGCTCCTCACACGGCATTCTTCCTTTGGGGTCCTCTCACGATCGCTCGATCCCCTTTGATACACTTCGGTCTAAATAGTAATGGCGGAAAACTCGCAAGACGTAGGTGGACAATTGACAAGGCGGACGAGCACTATTTTGAGGCAGCGGGAACCCTGTTGTCGCTGCTAGAAATACTTTCCGTGTTGAGGAATCAAATCGAATCAAGGTCGCAGGCAATGGTGGATGGTGAAGCTAGTATCAGCTTCCTTTGGAATGCCTGCGACCGTCAAGCTTTGGACCCGCGCGACAAGATCTTCGCTCTTTTACCCTTCATTGCAGGATCATGGGCGTGCGTGAAGTCAAGCAATTACGACATTAGTTGCATTGAGTTGTTCAGACGCGTCACGGTGGATCTCATCCGAGCCTGTCAATCATTACTCCCACTCATGGGACGCCGGCAGAGCGAGGCTTCCTTGGAAGAACCATCGTGGACTCTGGATTGGCGTCGCCAAGAGATGGCACAACACAGAGAGTCAAATTCATTTACCATGACTCTTTACCTGTTCCCCCAATTCAATGCCTCACACGGCATTCCTCAGCTAGATTGTCGCGACCTCGTTTCGGGCGACGGGCGGCGCCTTAGACTACGTGGATATTTCGTCGGCACGCTTGTGAGGACAATCACGCCACCAGTCGAAGTCTCCTCGGTTCCTGGTCACCGCTTTGATTATTCTTACACCCTCCGAAATCTCATAAAGACATGGAAACAGCACATAGCAGAAGATGCTTTCAGTGAGCTCCGAGAGCTGGACAAGCCGTTGTTCAAAAAGGAAGCCATCGCAGAGTTTTCGGGGATGTGGGATGACATGGAGAAAGCCGATAAATATCTGTTCGATTCGTCAGGGCCCGCAGAGTATGGAACGAGTAAGAAAATACAGATACTAGTCTGGCTGCAATCCAGAGTCATGAACATCTTTCTCACATGTGGAGGTTGCTTTGGCGTCGGAACACACGACACGAAAGAGGGCGACGAGGTCTGGATTCTCTGCTCAGGATTTATGCCACTCATTTTACGACCGATCAAAAGCAACGGTGAGCAGAGTGATGATAATGGCCAAGTTGATGGTCCAGCTACGTTCATTCTACCAGAGATGCAGGATAGATATCATCTGGTGAGTGACTGCTACATGCCCGGGATAATGAACGGCGAGCTCTCACTCGAAGGAAATTCTAATTTACGAACAATCACGTTATGTTAAGCTGGTTTGTAACTTTTGGAAGGCGCGAGGATTTGGATCTTTGACGGATCAATCTCGTTAAATCTAGTCTTCTGTACTACAAATCGGGCCTGATCTTTAGGTCCTATATACTTCTCGGGGTGCCACAGATCTCAATACACGTACTGAAAAACGTCAGTGATGGTTCAATTTCAACGAAGAGATGTCCACTTACCTTGAAGTACTTGTTCTGCAAGTCTGTCTCGTCCAGGAGCCCACGCTCGTAGGCCTGCTGCTCATTCTCCTCCGACGTCGCGTGTTCCGCCCTCCTAGACCGATTTCTAACCCACAACAGACACCAGAGGCCACAGAGGCATGCGATCTGCATACCGACGCAGAAGATCATCATCGCGACGCCCAGGGGGTACCGCGGCGCCTGCTCTGCCTTAAAGAAGAATGGGCCGACGAAGTTTCCGAGACAGTACCCGATCAGAAGCATCGCGTTTGTCGTTATCTTCTTGGTGTGGCCCGCGGTGTTGGCCGTGGCGACAGACATGGACAGCGTCCAGGTCGCCGTGTAGGCGAAGGAGATCCAGAGACAGGCGAGGCGGCCATAGGGATTGGATTGATCAATGAGCCAGAGGCCGAGGATACCGGCGAGGAAGGGGGCGAGACAGGTAAGCATGATGGCTATGCGAGCGTTTGGGTAGTAGGAAGCGAAGAAGCTGCGTTACGTTAGCTGAGAAACAGGAGGCTGAAGATTACGGCTTGCTCACCATGCCAGGGGACACAGAATGAGCTGGACCGCTCCCGAAGGCATCTGGATGAGAGTAGTCTGAAGCGTCGAGAAGCCCATGCCCCTGATTACAAGACCTTGGAACTATCGTTGTGTCAGTTTACAGTCTCCAAGGTAATATCTGACCACAACTCACCGTCGTCAATCCGCCATTGGGAGTGTTACTCGCCACAGCAAACAAAAACAGAAGCCATGTCTTCAAGTCCATCATGGCCTCCCTGAACTGGGGCCACTTGAACTTCTTGTTCTCGACTCCCGTACCGTTCGCCTTGACGCGACTAATAACCATCGCTTTCTCCTTTTCTGATAGAAACTTCGTCGTCAATGGCGAGCCAGGAAGAAAGATGAGCATGAGAATCCCCCACGCCACCGTAATGGCGCCCCAAAACAGAAACAGAATCCGCCAGCTCGCGATAGACCCCTGCACATGCCCAATTCCGAACGTCACGATACCGGCCGTGATGTACCCCAGACCCGCAGATCCGATCCAGATGCCCATACGAACAGGTTGCTCCTTTCTCGAATAGTACATAGAGAAAAGCAACATCGTACCCGGGTTGATCGAAGCCTCGAACGCACCCAGAAATGTCCTCGTCGCCGCGAGCCCAGCAAAATTATGCGACGCGGCGTGGCACATGAGCACGGCGCCCCACAACACCACGGTGGCCGACATGAAGGTGTTTATGGGCAATTTCTGCAGCAGTACGTTTGTGGGGAACTCCCAGAAGAGGTATCCCAGGTACAGCAGCGCGCCGGCCCAGGAGAACTCGGAACCGGTGAGGCCAATGTCCTCGCGGATGCCAAAGACGGCGGCGTAGCTCAGTGTCGTACGGTCGATGGACTGCAGGGCGTATGTGATGCAAGGGAGCGGCATGAGGCGAAAGTCGAGGCGTCGGAGGAGCGCGGAGCTCTCTTCCGGGTCGATTACTTCACCTTCGGCTGCGTCGAGGAGGTCGAGGGGCTTTGTTGGCTCGGAGGCCATGAGCTCCTCTTTGGGAGTCATTTCCGTCTTCATGATTCGCTGAGTCGGATCTTGGGAGAGAGAAGAGAGGGTGTTTCGGCCGCTGCACTGCAGGTCGCCAGACTGCATCTACATCTAAAGAACATCTAGCTATATAGGATCATCGGCGACGTGAGTGCCGGATCTATAGGCATGTTGTTAATGATTCGGTATGCCTCCGAGACGCAGCAGATAAGAGCCGGTGGCACCACTGGGGGGGTGTTATTGCTTCCCGCGGAAAAGTCTTATCACGGTTGAAGTCATCCGCGGCCATGACTTGTGCAGATGTTACCCCGCGCATAATGTTGCAGCGACCAGCCGTGTTTCCGAGAATGGGTAGTTTGCGATTTTATAGACCATTTTTTTTTCGGAGGCGTCGAGACAGTCGAACTAGGTTTCAAGACAGTATCAGGTATCAGTCACCAGGATTCGGCTTCAGTGAGATTATAAGCTCAGAATTTGGGGCGATATGATGAACCGTGAACTCGCATCATCCGTACAGTATACTTGCGAAGCAGTAATCATGCAATTTTTCAATTCAAGAGAATCATTTCATGAAATTTCATTGGATAGTTTTTAGTCCTATTTGTCGTCCAGATACAAGCCCTCATCCGGAGGCGGAACACCATACCAGTCCAAGCCCAGCTTATCCTCAGGATCAGGATCCGGCATCTGGTAGTACCCATCATACCTCCACCAAGTCCGATCTTCCCACACATCCTCAACCGGCAAGACCCCTTCAGCCTTCATCTCATCCCTAACCTTCTCAACACCACGCCACACTCTCAAGATATTTTCACCAGCGACCTTAGCAAGCTGCTCCTCAGTCGCGCCCCTATCAAGAATAGCCTTGAGGAGTCTCGGGTAGCACTTGACGTCTTCCAAGCCGGGGATGACAGATGCGATACCGTCAAAGTCGGAGCCGAGACCAACGTGATCCCAGCCGATACGCTCGGCAATGTAGAACAAGTGATCGAGAACCATGTCCATCTTGGCGTCCCGTCGACGTGTAGTGACGTGCTCCGGGACAAAGGTTACCATCACGATACCACCGTTGGCTGGGACCATGTCTAGGATGTGATCCGGGACGTTGCGGGGACAGTCGAAGACGCCCTTGACGTTGGAGTGGGAGAACATGATTGGTGCGCGGGTCTGCTCGAGGACTTGCTTGGCGCAGTCTTCTGAGACGTGGGAGATGTCTACAATCATTCCTGCGAAGGGCTGGTGAGCGGGCTGCTTGTTTGACTGAACTGTCTTGCTCACCTAATCTGTTCATCTCGATCAATGCTGCACGTCCCAGCTTAGAGAGTCCGCCGTGCACAGCGCCGACTTTGGATGTTGAGCTATCGGCGAATGCATTGTTGCAGACATGAGTGAAAGTGCACTAGCAAAATCAGTACCAAAACTACCAGCATCTCTAAGCATTTCCAACTTACATATCTGACGCCCAGGCGGTAAAATGCTCTGATAATACCAATACTGTTGCCAGCCATGTGCAATCTACCAATCTGGTCAGTCTCTCGTGAGCCTCTCTCAACTCCTCAAATTGAACACGCACCCTTCAATACCGATGGAGCAAGCTATCCTCCCAGACTCGTAAATCTTCTTCACATCATTTGGTCCATTCACCAATTCAAACGTCTCCGGGTACGACTCAACAAGCCGAAGCGTCATATCAATCTGCTCAATGGCGTCGCGCGCCATGTCCGAGTACTCTGCTGTCGAAAAGTTCTCCGCGGACCTGAGACAAGGGACGCAAATGGACCAGAATTGGCCTCCGACGGCACCTTCATGTCGTGTAAGTCATGTAGATCTACGGGGGTAAAACGGGACAGGATCTAGCAACTCACCCTCTCTCAGTCGGGGGATATCCGTCATTCCCCTCTCAAATCCATTTGCGAAATCAAATTTCGGATTATTGTGAATCTTGCCGTGAAAGCATGCCCGCGGTTGCTGAGGCAGATCATTGTGGCCGTCGATGAGCGGCGTCCTGAGAAGAACACGCTTGACTCGCTCGTCAATGTCAAGCTTCTGATAGGGATGATCTGACGATGCCATTGTGTTAATGCCAGGTTTGTTGGTCGATTTGGAATTGTTGCCAACCCCAACACGCGATTGATCTGATGAGAGGATTCAATAAGGTACTAGTAGTTGAGAAACAAGTTATGCGCGGAGCTCATTAAGGTGAGGTTCATTTCAGTTTAGTCTGGGTGCCTGCGTTTCCTCGGTCAACTGTTGCTAGAGACTCAGAGTGTGGGTTTCCCGCGCAAAAGGAAGGGACCCATAGATATGACCCAGACGTTTGATTTGGCCGCCATACCATCGCGGGGAGTCATGTTTGAAGGCTCGGATAATAAGATCCAGGGTATTCCTTGACCCCGCAGGTTCGAGCCTAGATAAGAGCCAAGATCGTCTCATCTTGTCTTGTTTGTACGGATACACCAACCAATCTCAAGGATGCTGGCTTCCCAGGTTCCAGAGTTTCGGGTCCTCGCATGATGTTATCCACTCGAGAGCTCTCGAGTCTCAGTGGACAAGTGTAGAGACTTGGCTCGATTGAGAAGAAATTCACAAAAGCAACGGAGTTGTCTCAAGGCTTCCCTTCCCGCAGACGCTCGGTTGGTGGTTAAATTCAGTACGGATTGGGAACATGGAAGTATAATGTTCGGAGAATGTTAACGGCCAATAAGTACTCAAAGTCTATGAGTCCATGATGTACACCGTTCGCTCCACTATCGTTGCCGTTCTCAAATAGAACAGCGTTTTGCTACATTCGCTAATGATATGGGTATCCTTCAAACACAATCGTATGATCAGAAACGACGCCAGAAACCGACTCTATGAGAAAATTGAACCATAAACTCCAAATTCCAACTTCGAGAAATGGAAAGAGAATCGCTCGCTCACACACTAGCAGCCTGTCATAATTTCATCTTCGTCATACTGCCCAGACGCGCCACGTTTTGCGCTGACCTGTTTCTTGGGAGCCGGCCGGCATTTCAAGACCTTCATCTCGGGATCTACAACAAGCACCTTGAGACGCTGGTCAATTGCGTCCACTCCAGAAGCGATTCTTTGATCTACGCATTCCACTATTAGCACTACTTCACGCTTTGGAAAAAAGCATTCTCAGGAGAGGGCAAACTTACGGAAAGTGTCACGGAGTTCCAAAATGCCGTCAAACGCTTTCGTGAGACCAACCTGCTGGGTTTCACCAGCAGGCCAATGACCCTTGACGGTGTCGAGTGACAGCAGCTTCAGCGTCGCGGAGGTCCGGAAGAGACTCGCGTAGGACACCGCCACGGCATTCAAGAGAGGCTCTGCGTTGCCGTGCCACGGCTTGACGTTTCTGAGAAGGTCGCGGTAGATGAACATGAGCTGCCACAGCGCAGCCCATACCGCGGGCCTCTCGTGGTTATCCATCTTGGACTTGGTGGGCTTGAGATACCTATCGAGGTCGGCGAGGATGTCTCGCTCAGACGACTCGATGACGGACCTCGCGATGCCACGGATTTCCGCCTGAGCTGGGAGAGGAAGCTCGGAGAGCCGAATCTCACCTGAGCGGATGAAGTATAGTTCTGGCGAGCGGTAGATTCTGCACATGGCGTTGAGCGTGTGCACCTTTTGCAACAGTTCGGTCTGAGACTGGTGAGACATTGTACGAGGCGTATGAGACCTTGGAGAGGTAGGCTTACCTTGGGACGTTGCGCCGTATTATAAGGATTATATTGACTTGGCATTGCGTAATGCTTGATGAAATACTCGATACGCCCCTCAAAGGTCCTGTGATCTTCAGAGGAAACGTATTGTGAAGCCCAGTCTACCAGGCTGTCCTGTGACATGGCCCTGTTCTCTGGGTTCCTAGTCAGAGTGCAGCCGCGACAGCTGAGGGCAGCGCATGTGAAATTTCTGAGAGTGGCTCTGAGACCTGGCCTGGAGCTATCTGGCTCGAGAAAGATTTGCCCTTCAAATACAGGCCCTTGAAATTGCGGGCCACCCGTTCTCAGGGTGTCATTGACTATACGGTCAAGTCTCAAGCCAGCGACTACACATTATTAACGGCCCACTCCGAGAACTGGAGAAACAGAAAAACTCACAACGCCTAGGCGAAAGCTCCTTGGCTACACTCGTCAAGTCCCCGCGGATGCAAGAGAACTCTGTGGCTTGTTGCCCAAGCTTCTTGCAGGTTTCGCAAGGGTCAACAGCCGAGCATGTAACCTTTTGTACTCTGCATCTAATACATGCGCTAGCGACTCTGACTCTGTTCCCCTTGTGAACATCTTTGGCGACCCGGTGTCTGCTGTTGGGTGATTTTTTGATGGGCCGGGCTGGAAGGTCGAGAGCGGGCGGCTTCGGGAGGCTTCGCTTGTCCAAGCTCACTTGGTATGCCGGTGATTCGATCTGACCAAGTGTAGTTGACATTCCTTCCGCAATGGTCGCAGGTTCCCATAGAATAAGTTCCCTTTCTATCGCTGAGATTGCTGATGATGTTAGGGGCTCAGTGGTGTCTTCCGTCGATCTCGATGAGCTCGGAGCGTCTGAGTCTAAGCTGTCATAGAAAGATTTCAGTGTATCCGAAAGTAATACACGCTCGTCTTTCTCTTCTACGTCAAACGAGTATAAGTCCTCAATTTCTTCTTTGGACATCGCAAAGTCAAAATTCGTCAGGACTTGTATTTCATCGTCCTCTTCTTCACCCTCTTCAGTAGCGTCTTCCCACGGAAAACATTTCAGCGCGAACTCGTGTACATGCCAGAGGATGTGATCGTCGTCGACTAGCTGAGTGTGGTCATTGCCATGGGTACATAAAGGACAAGGTACAGGTTCCGGCGTTCTTCGCTGGCAGATTTCGGAAAGAGACGATAATTCGATGGAAGCTGCAATGTTTTGGTGCTGTTCGATCGCGTGCGTTTCCCAAGTTTGCCTACTGCTGAAGGTAGAGAAATGTTTGCTATTAAGATCCTTAGTACACCATGGACACGTCCATTCGATCTGAGAGTGGTATTCGTTTAGATGCCTCATTAGTTCGTCGGAAGTCGACCACATGAGATCGGGCATGGCGCAGTTTTCATAGTAACAAGAGTAGGGCAGGATATCGTTGGCTACATGTTTTCTGCAAGAAGTCAGAACTATGATGGCGTCTTCCGGAAACCTTAAGTTTTCCAGACTTGAATCTTAATTACCTCCAGAGTGACTGACTCCTGAGGCATTGCTCTGGCAGTACATTGGCACAGTAAGGGCAAGTCAGTAGACTGCCGACGGTGGATGGCTTGGGACATTTCGGGTACTCCAAGTCATCTCGACTTCCTATCCGAGTGGCCCGGGTTACGATAGACGGCGATTTCTCCTCTTGGAGAAAGAGAGATAGATCAAATTGCGATCCTATGTGCGTGGCTGTATGCGATGCCGAAGGGATAACCTTAGAACTTGCTTGGACGGGCATGTCGTCGTCGGGTAAAGCCTGAGACTCGACCTCAAACTCGCGATCCACGGTCTCCAATTGTGTAGGCTGCGGTTCAAACTCCATTGCCGTTTCCGCAATATTTGCCTCAATGATGGCCTCGTGGTCTTCAGTAGACTCTCGAATAAATTGTATTCTATTCCGACGAAGAAGGTTTGCACGTATCAAGCGTCGTTGTACTGTCGTCAATCTACTTTCGTGAAGGAAGTCGGCGATTGCTCCTATCTGGTAAGGCACGGCAGCAGTCGCTTTTTCCAAGCTACCGCCAAGTATACTGCTCTTCCAAGACTGTACGTATTCAATGAAGTCCCCTTCTTTGAGTGATGTATCAGCCTTGTGATAGCGATACTTGTTGCCAGATTGTCGAATCTTGGTTGACAAGTCGATGAGCCGTGCTATTGTCGCTTTGATATAAAACATGTGGTACTCAACTTCGTGCTTATCCATGTCGTTTAACTCACTGCCAATTTCGGAAGCGCCACTACTGGAGGAACTAGCTGCGTCATCTGTCTCGCCATGCTCGTGCATATCAGCGCATCCAGCAATCATCGATGGCTTCAGACGAGCTATCAAGATCAGTAAGAGAATTGCCTACCAAGTGTAATCGCTTACTCAATTCCAAGAGATGACTGAGCGATTCACGTAAGCCATCCAACAAGTCCAGAAACAACTGACGAACATTAGCGTGATCGCGGACTCGATATTCCAGCGATGATTTGCCCTTCCTGTCCGCTTTTATTACTTTACACCAGAGGTTAAATTCGGCCTCACGATATTCGAACCAGTCCATGTCTGACAGATCTGGCACTGAGGAACGAAGGCTGGCAAACAATTCCTGACATGTAATTGTGCGAGAACGGATGTCTGAACCGTGAAGAGAGACAAGAGACGGGGTATGGTCGGATGTCATGATGAAGAAAACGCGAAGGCAAGACTCTCAGTTTCGGCGATGATATGACAGTGTCTTTGCCTTCGTTAACAAGTCGTGAGAGCTACTATGACATTCAAATGCTATCTCTGATGTAAAGGGGGCAGCTGACGTTCATGCCCGGCAGCCCATTCGGAGAAATACGCATCAGGTTGCTCGCTAAATGAGCGAATAGTGTGAGATTGATAGACCTGTAACGTGACTATGAGGCTGCATGGTGCAGCACATTGTTGTTCTTGGCCAATAGTCAGAGAAGAGGGGCCTGCCTGGTAATCCGATTCTTAAGTTTGGCTCAGAGCAGGGAACGTGAACCTATGTCGACATAATTTGATCGAGATGGGTTCGAAATGTTGGTTCGTCCTCTCACAGACGCACTATCCCCCACCGGATATCCCCAAGAACGGAATCGGCCCTTCACGAGGCCCGATTTGTCTAGGACACCTGATAACTGACCTCCGACATCTCGACAATGTCATCAACCGGGACGCGCCGCTCGACATCCCGCCGAACATGCCAATCCATTCGAGCAAGAGGTGGGGACTAAACTGGCAGATACACACTGGCCGCGGTGCAGAGGTTTCCGCGACAGCCGGTGCGCCCATCGCTGCGGCTGCCGGGGTGACGATTAAGCAGGATGCCGGGCTTGCTTTCGAGATGAGTGTCAGCAAACACTGGGAATTCGAGGCTCTCGAGACGTTCATTGTTCAACCAACCAATAATTTCGTCGAGGAAAGCGTCGGTACAACCGAAGTTCTCGGCCATCTCAAGAAGCAAGGTCGGCTGAAGACGTCGACGCTGTTCATGATTACAGGGATTGCCATAGCGCGAGGCGCCTCTATCGGGGTTTCTCAAACTGCAACTAAGAAGATAGTTGGGGGGCCAGGGATGTGAGTAGTTGCCAGACAGCCTATCTTAAGCAGCAAATCGGCTAGGGACTGACATTACGCACGAATAGTGAGGCTCCACTTGGAATCGCTGAAGTAGGCTTTCAAGTTGGCTGCTCGAAGGACAACGCCATCCTATCGTCGACACACAGATCGACCGACTTCATATGGGCAGTTCGCTTAGCGAAAATATCCAAAGGTTTTATTGATCGGAAGTGGTCATTTGAAACACTTTCACGTGGCGCAACATTTGGAAGACGGGACGGCGGAGCGGACATTGGTGATGAGGTCACCCAAGCATTGCGAGACGAAGGGCTTGACATGCGCCCATGCCCCGTGAACATTAACGACGACGTTTTTGTTCTGAACCATGATGACCTGCCAACGTCCAGTGATTGAGGTGCTGGAAGTCTGTGTTGGGAAACTGGCTGTACTAGATATGCTTCAGAACTCTCGTCATATCTACTTATTTACTCGCTTTACCTCACCCTGCCATGGGGCGCCTGTACATACCTCGCGAAGAGCGTGTTAAGTGTTCCTCGTGTATTTCCAAGAGCCCGAAGAAGCCTCCATCTTTCATGTCTCGGAAATTTGCAGACCTCGCCAGTTATTGTCAGCCTCGATATACCGTCACCTCATTCGCCAATGAACATGCATGCACCAATCAGAATTTGGTCACCTCACATCACGAGGCTTGAAGGAGCCCCTCAGGGCATTATTTGTCCAGTCAACGCATACCCAACTTTCTCAACATGTCATGATCGCAGTCACTACTCACCGCAATAGCAGTAATGGTCTCAACACCGGAATACGACGCGAACCAACTAGCAAATCACGGCCTGCGAAATGTCTCCGATACAGTTTCAGAGCTCATAAAAGATGGCGCGGCTCCGAAAGCATTCCTGAGCAATTTGAGTGCTGAGCTCGTCTCCGTGGCTGAGTGGCTCAAGGAGACGAGAGGACTCGAGGAGCCAAAGAACGTCGACCGGGTTCTGAAACTTTTAGCGGTCCTGGAGAAGCTGGGCAGAGTAAGTTTATAGTGCTGAGCTTAACTTGAACCAGTTACGTAACACCCATGGGACTGACGAAGACTTGCACTCTAGTACCCTAAGAGTTTCCGGGTTTCCGTCGAAACAGGCGATCTCAGCCAATATAAGATCCTGCAAGACTGGGATGCAGCAAGACGTCACTTCCGCGAGACTATGTGCAACTTAGCCGCGTACAAGAACCTTCGAAAACAAAACAAGTTCCTTTCAAGTTTGGCCCGAATCCATAAATCAAAACAACCACGTCGGGTGACCGAGTTTCCCGAAGTCAAACCTGTCGGGAAGGAATCGAAGGTACAACAACGATGGGACTGTCAAGGGTACATCAGGGCGCTACACAGAACGCTATCCCCTATATGTTTGTGTTCTCAGGACAACGCAGCGGGCTATATTACGGCAAATCTTCAGCTTCGGCGGTGTGGCTCACGTGGCGAACCCCCTGATGCCATGAAATTCCGACTTTTCTTTTTGGACCACCCGCATCGACGAGACCATTTCCCCCTGTCCCAATGGCAGGATGTGCAAATTTTAATCCCGAGAAACAGGTGCGCAATGCCTTGACCATGGACTTAAGATCGTAGTCGCCATATGTTGACATGATTTGCAGTGGAGCTAAACTTGCGGATGATCCATCTTCTACACCCAAGGTGCAAAATGCCCCAGCGGTTTCTAAGCAAACCTTCTGTCAACTCATAACATGCAGAAACCAATGCCAGTTGAGGTTTGAAGCACTAGGCGATGGACGTGTGTTCATGCAGCCTATGCAGCAGTTCTCTAATGGGTTCCTTCTCCACGAGTCCAGCATCTCTCTCCACGACCTGGTGGCCTGTCATGGGGCAAAGCTGAATCTATCACGTAGAGTTCTGCTATCTTACGTGCTAGCACAGTCTTTCTGGCAACTATATGGGTCCGACTGGATGCGTAACCCATGGACCAAGAGCGATGTCCATTTCATGTTCGAAGAGCGGGCGGCAAAACTCGCTGGCATCTACGTCAATGAGCCTTTCCTCTCAACACAGTTCAACGGCCGCACGATGCCCAAGAACCCCGCGATGGCGCATCGTTTCCCCAAGATTCTTGCTCTAGGCCTTATGCTTCTCGAAATAGGGCTCGGTGTTGGTATAGAGACCCTCAGACTACCCAGTGATAAGCAAATTGACGACAGACCACACGCGAATACGGATCTTATTGTTGGAACAAGAGTACTTGCAGAGAAGAGAGCGGAGAACGAGTTCTTTCCTCCCTTTGCAGACGTAGTAGAGCGTTGTCTTGACATACACAGTTTTCGGGAATATGAAGATGATGACGAGGGCCTCCGCCACGCAATAGAGGAGCGCATCGTCAACGTTCTCCATTCTTGTTACAATGACTGTTGGCTCAAAGATCCCGACTTTGTTGACATAAATCCAGTCATTCTGAATCCTCCTACGTCAAGTCGAACACTGATGTCTCTTGGCAGAGCATCTGATGACCGGCATGGCGCAAGGCTCATTGTTTCGAGTAGTCAGGCCAATTGGGATTCACCGCAAGATTATCCCAACATACCTCATCTCAGGTTCGTTGTTTTTCCCGAGTTCGATTGTCTTAAGGAGCTAACGAGCTAGTGCTTCCTCTCTGCCTACATCGCTCGCCTACGGTCCTATGTCAAGGTATGATGCCCCGGCCGATGAAATAATGAAGTAGAAGCTAACAGCTGGTGATGCAGCGGTACCTTGTCATCAAATCATTGGTTCGAAGAGTTCGACATACTCGACCGAGTTATTCGGAGTCCTATATCCCAGAATTCTAGTTCTCAGCCATCGAGGATTGTAATACTGGACACTGGAGTTCGAAGTGAACTAAGTAGCCTCACCACGAGTTACAAAGACTTCATTTCGGTCAACGGGTTCAATTACCAGGACAACACGAATCATGGGACCTGTGCAGTTGCCTTGATTAAAAGGATATACACGTCCGCAGATATCTATGTTGGAAGAGTATTTGAGGGACAACTTGCTTCCGACAACACAGCCAGTCTCATGGCACAGGTGAGTAAAGCCCAACTTTCGAATGCTCGTGGCTGACGAAGAAGGCGATTGATCATGCTCGAACTATCTGGAAGGCCGACATCATCGTTATGCCTTCGGGTTTCGACGCGGCAAATACAGATCTGGAGCTTGCCATCAATGATGCTCGCAATGCAAAAGTTCTCATCTTTGCAGCAGCATCCAACTTTGGCAACATCAGAGATATTGCCTTTCCAGCCCGTCTTTACACCAGTCTGAAACTATTCTGTATGTTTTCTACGACAGCTGGTATCCGAGCAAATTGCGACTTCAACCCTTCGCCATCGCCGCACGCAAAACACAACTTTGCAGTACTCGGCGAAGATGTCGAGCTACCAATACCTGCTTTATCTAATGAACCTTTCAAGCTCAGTGGAACATCTTTTTCTGCCATGATTGCGGCAGCAATCGCAGGGCAGATCCTCGAGTTTGTTCGCCACGAACATGCTAGTGGACTGATTTCCTGCGCTGACAAGATCCGCACAGTAGAGGGTATGTCTGCAGTCTTCTCGGCCATGGCGCAAGATAAGGACAATGGCTATCACTGCATAGCACCATGGAAAATTCTTTCTCAGAGATTGCGTCATGAGACAGTCGATAAAGTTGAAGCACGGGAAGACCTTCGCATCACAATCATCCGAGCATTGGAATCTTGTTAGACGAGATGGATTCAATGTCCATAAACTTCAATCGTGTTACTCGCTAGTCAAATTTCAGTAAAGACAGCATTCCGATAGCCATAGGTGGTGATAAAGAAACTAAAGCCATTATCAACAACCTCCCATAACATCGTCTTCATCGTCTTGTTCTCCAGCAGCGGAGCGTTTACCACCGACCGACTTTTTGGGTTGCCTTCGTTTGAGAACCTTCATCTCTGGATCTACAACTAGAGTCTTGAGACGCTGATCAATAACGTTCACGCCTGCAGTAATCTGTCGATCTGGTGGAGATTAGACTTGTTGACTCAACGGTGACAGGTAATCTGAGTATGCTCACAGAAGGTATCGCGGAGGCTCAAGGCATTTTCAAATGAATTGGCAATCTCTCCGTAACTGGTCTTATCCAGAGTCATTCTTAACGCTGCTGATGTGCGAAAAGAACTTCCGTAGAAGACCGCCATGGCATTAAGAAGAGACTCGGCATTATTGGCGGTATGCCATGACCGTATGTTCTTGAGCAAGTCTCGATAGATGAGCATCATTTGCCACAACGCGGCCCAGACAGCTGGCCTGTCGTTGATCTCCATTTTGTTCTTCAGATACTTGTCTAATTCGGCGAGAATATCTCGTTCAGATGCTTCTAGAGCGGACTTGGCGACGCCTCTCATCTGAGCTTGTGCTGAGAATGACAGCTCGGTAATTGGACTATTGTCCGATGGCGCGAAGTAGAAATTTGGCGTCCGATATACTTTGTACATTGACTTGAAGGTATGTACCTTTTGCAAAAGTTGCATCTGGAAGCTGTTAGAGGTGGCCACTCTCGGACGCCTGCATATAGTCCGGAGACGTTCGTGCAGACATTCAGTTCATACCTGGGGCCGATGACTAACAACGCTGTAGCGGCTGCATTGGGAAGGCTTGGAGTAGAGTCTGATGAACGATTCAATGCCACCTTCGAATGTCCTATGATCTTCTGGCAAAACCTGGCGTTCGGCCCACTTGACGAGCTGTTCCTGCGACAATGCGGGATTGGGATGATCTCTCGAAAAGGTGCAACCGCCGTGATTAGGTGCTGTGCAATAATAATTCCTCAAGGCTGCAGGGATCGAAGCTTTACTGTAGTCCTTCTCAAAGAGAATCTGCCCGTGAAAGACCGGCCCTCGGAACTCAGGCCGTGCTTGTCTCAGTGTATCATTAACAGCGCGGTCTTCCTTTTGAGCCAAGCAAGTGACTAGAATAGGTCAGGTTTGAGTTTATCAAGCTGGAAGTACCACGGCTCACATCTCCTGTAGGAACACTCCTTGGCAACGGTGCTCAAATCTCCCCGGATACAACAGACCTCAGCAGATTGTTCCTTGTTGCTGAAGGTTGTGCATGTACCACACGGATCGGTAGTCGAGCAGGGTACCTTCTGGATTCGGCATTTCAGGCAAGCTCCAGTCCCTCTCACTTGATTAACCTTTCTGACATCTTTGACAACCCGTTGTCTTGAGGCTGCTGACTTCTTGGTAACGCGTGTAGGGGCATCGACCTGAAGAGTCAGAGATCTGGGAGGATTCTGAGTTGGATCGTAGTGCGGCGTAGTCAACTTGTCGTCGTATCCACGCAGCCGGCTCAGGTCGCCGTAGGATCCCTGACCATGTAGTTGAACCTCGAGAGAGGATGGGGAGCTGGATAGAATGGAAGCCGGTTCATCGTTGGGCGTTACAGGTTCCGGGGTGTGAACAGAGGAAGAGTCGTCCGTAATGGAGCGGGTGCCAACGGAGGCTGGATAGGTAGGGAACATCTCGGACACTCGGCCGTCATCTGAGGAGAGTCCTGAAGAGCTGGAAGTGTCCCCGATGTACTGGGCCCAGGTCGCCTCCGCGAAGTAGGTCTCTTGAGGCCTTTGTTCATTTGAAAAGACTTCTTGACCGCCTCGAGCAAGCCTAGGTGTGACATAGAAAGATGCTGGGCTGTTTGCCGACCTCCTCGGGTAGGTGCCCAAGAAGATGTGGATATCACTCCCAACCTCCATTTCGGTCATGTAAGTCGATGTGACTGGATAGGTCTTGCAGAAGGGTAATTTCAGAGACCCAGTGTTTGGCAAGGATTGCAGGATTTGACAGCTGTAATGTGATCCCCGGGATGTGTTGTTTCTAAGTTTTGTGAGGGGTTTTGCTACATCCTCAATAGTTTATAGACCATCTCGTGCTGAGGCTCTTCAATCCCATGTATCGCGAGCCATGGTGTTGTAGATTTCGGTGACAACTGTACACGCTATTGGCCAATTCACATAAGCCCCGTAAAAACGGAATACCAATCAGACACCCATGTTTGACCGAGAATTGCAACCGTTCATGCGCGCAGCGTAGACTGGTCTACCTATGGCTCCCCGGCCGGCGTTACATAAGCCGGGAATCGCAGCTGAAGATGACCAGTAAGCGCCGGACAACGTGAATGCGTGTCTGGAGGATGGTGCAGTTCATGTTCACCCAAGAGCATGGATGACCTCGAGCCTTTGTTTTGACAAACTGGGATGAAATATGGAGGAAGACCATGTCGAGGTCGACCATGTGAGAACCAATTACCTAGACCATGAGGGATATGTGATTATTTATCTTGTCTCGATAGGTTTCATTTGCAAGACTCTCTGTGTCTCTACATGGAACGATGGCAGCCGCGTGCTACCTTCAGCTACACCCCCCTGCGTATTGCCCGGCATGCAGCACACTTGGCGATGTCACAGGGCTTTCTGTCATCTCAGACGAAGATTGTGAACTGTGTGTTTTATTCTCTCACCATGGTAGCTTCTGACTTAGGACTTACGAACGTTGCTCTATCCTCCTTCTTGATGGTGATGGCAACGACGAGTGACGAGAGCACTATACTTGTGTTGAGCTTTGAGGCAGGGTTCTAAAGCTCAGCAATTCTTATAGAACAAGGTTTGAACAGCTCTGTACGAGACTAACTTGTGTCTCAATAGGTATCAGGAGGATCACTGAGAAAATTGATATACTGAAGAGGCAGCTCCGGAAAGGGCCCTCGGAAGGGATGCCTTTGCTGGCGTTCCGTTCCCGGACGACCGATAAATAGCGGGGCAGCCGGCCGGGAATGGCGGGGTTGAGAAGTTGAAGGTGCCAGTGTCCAGCGGCTTGGGCGTGGGCGCGCTGGGCACTTTAAAGTGCGCCGAGGTGGGACGGTCCCTGCAAAAAGAGGACGTGCCCGCACTTCCCTGCATACAATGGCCCCACTCAGTCAAACCCATCAAACGTCACTTTCCCAACGCTTCTCGGAGGGTTGCGCCATGTCTTTAACGGCAATTTGCATCTGCAGCTCTGTCGCAATACTTCTCCCTCCTCCAACAATGGGAACTTCTTGAAGGTCTCACTTGCAAAAATGGCGCCCAGTCTTCTCTCTTACGTTCCAATCGTCAATCTCTTCGTCCCAGACGGCGAAAAGGCGCAAACCATCAATATTCCCCCTGTCGAAGTTCACGATGTCGAGACCGACCACGACCGGCGAGCGAGATGCCTCAAGCACCTGCTGAGGGCCAACCACGTCAACCACTCCATAATCTACCACAACCTCCAGTTCGACAACCACACGGCACACGTTCTTTCGTCTGCGTATCTGCTAGGTGCGAACGACCGCCAGCTCCAAAATATCTACGAAGCCGAAGCGAAGGAGCTGGAGCCATGGAAGGAGTCTCCCGCCGAGGTCACCGACGATGACTGGAGAGACCTCCTTGGCGACAAGACATACCAGAGGGCATATGTCGATTTCTTCGAAGACTCTTTGGCAAACAACTCCTACGAGTGGAAGAAGGTCGTCGACGAGTTCATGTTTACTGGCGACGAGCCTTTGGTCCATGGGCTTATTGGTGGTCGTGCGTATTGCACAGAAGAATGACGAAGTACATTTGCTGACCCCTCATGTAGTTGGCCACCCCCTCATCCACCTCGGATACGCTTACGAGATGAACTCCAAGGAGATCGCGATCGAGGCCCTGGCATTGGCTGCCACGCAATATAATTTCTTCCACCAATACCTCGACGAAAAGAAATACACGAAGCCGTCACCGTTCAGCTCAAAGTCGACGTTCGAGCTGATTCACAAGGTCGCAGATGACAAGCGACTCGATGGGCTGTTCAAGGAACCATCCTTGGGCAACCTCGACGTCTTGTTTGCAAAGCATGAAGACGTTGTCCTGGAATACTGGAATGCCTGGACCATCACAGATCCGGTGAAGCAGTTCGAAGAGTCACAGGAGCTCGCGGTTGCGCTTCTCGTCGCAACCATACCCCGTGGCACCCACGGATACAACTTCTTCACAGTGCATCTCCTCACAACGAGCCACGCCGTCCGAATTCTCCTCCCGGTCATTCCGGCCAAATTTCACATAAGCTTAGTAAGGGAGTGGTGGTTGCTCGTACTCGGTGTCTATATTTCCCTGTTGCGGCCAAAGATCGACCCCGACAATGTAGAGACGGATTTAAAGCAACGTCACTGGGGGCATGTTGAGCACGAAGCTCTGAACTCTCAATGGGCCACCGACGCCCACTATGTTAAAGGTCAGCACGGTCACTACGCTCAAGCTCTAGTATGCAGGGACTGACAGCTTCTCAGCGATTCGCGCCATGAAAGAGGCTTCTAGGACCTGGGGTGACGTACACGAGCGGTACCTGGCGTCTGCTCTAACATTTGTCGACAACTTCCGTGGGTGGACATTTGGAGCTGCTGACCTGAAGTCTGGGGGTTACTATTGAAGCAAACATGCTTTGGGAAACGAAATTGTCCTGATGCGTGGCACATAACTGGGAACAAGCTGGATTCACTTAGCTTGGACTGTCTTTAATCTAGCTCTACTGTACAACATGTGGGTACATAGCATGGAAATGACTTGGAATGTGTAATGAAATTGTCAATATGTCAAATCTTTCAACTCAGACTTGTTGTGTGTCTATCTACTTTTCCTCCTCGATTGACGCCGTCGTGTGGGAGCCTCATTGTTCGTAGGCGAGGGTCTCGCTCCATTCAGTGAGGCATCCAGTCTCAGTTCCTGAGACCTTCTTCACTCACTTGGATTATATTTCCAAAAATACGCTAGTCCTGTCATCGGTTGAAGAATTGTGGTCAGGAAGCTTGAGTGATGTGTAAGCCTCATTCCAGCTATGCTGAATTCGCCGAAATGTGTCTGTATGCCTTTTGCTCTTTGCGTATCATAAGCCCAGGTGAGAATATGGGATATGAGCATTGAAGGGGAAGCCTACTACTAAAATGGGTAGGTACGGCTTCCGCCAGGTACCAACAAGACCAGATGATTTAGCGATAAGTTAGTGTCCACTCGCTGTAAAGTGCATCAAAGTGGGGACCAGATCCAGATTGGCGAGGCTCCAAAATGACGAGGATGCAGCTGTGCTTTAGCCGCCCGCCAAAAGCACCATAGGCAGAGAGGTAGGTAAGTGCATGCTTGGTCATTCTTTCTTGCAGATTGTTCACAGCCTGCCCACGCCTTCAACAACTCCGAATTGCCAGGCCAAAAAATCAGACGCGTCGATCGGCCTGCAAACCTGCAGAGAACATGCGCTCATGTTGAGCTTCTTTACCACTATCCCGCCCAATGGCTCCGCCAGCCAAACGAAGAAGGCGCAATGTCGTCGAGTCGGACGATGAGGAAGACCTACCCAAGACGAATACGCTCACGAATTTCCTCCTTTCCTCACCCTCCAAATCAGATACGCGAGGCACGACTGCATCTCCCAGTCCAACGAAACCACAAAGTCGTATACCCGATAAGCGTCGAACCACCGCGGCGCCAGCTATACTCCAATCACGCAATGGTCCAGCAAACAAGAACACAAAGAGCCCGAGTACCAGCCCCGAGAAGGCCAAGGGCAAGCCAACGAAGCGCGTCAAGGTGGAAGAGAAGGGCCGCAATGGAAACCTCATGACGTTGTTCTCCAAGCAGGCATCGAAATCCAGTGCAAGGCCAGCTGCTTCGTCGAGGACGGTACCTCTCGACGACATAATAAGCGACCCGATATCTGAGGACGATGATGTTGCAGAACAGAAAGCTAGCACCTCTAGCATTGTCGGGCAGAATGCGCGGAAACGGTTCCGAGATAATACACCCGTCTCGTCGTCAACAGGTCTGGCATCAAGCCAGAGGTTCCTCAAGCCACCGCGCCCGAATAAACCGGCTGCTCTCGACGACGACTTGCGACCTTGGTCGGAACGCTTCGGGCCCATAAACTTGGAAGAGCTGGCAGTACACAAGAGGAAGGTCTCAGACGTGAGGAAGTGGTTGGAAGATGTCCTCGCCGGACGGATGCGCCAACGGCTTCTGGTTCTCAAGGGTGCTGCGGGTTCGGGAAAAACTACCACCATGCGACTTCTAGCTAGGGACATGGGCTACGAGCTCCTGGAGTGGAGGAATCCAACCGGTGCACTTGGCGCACATCTTGGGTACACATCAGCTTCCGCTCAGTTCCAGGAATTTCTGGGCAGAAGCGGGAAGTTTGGCCAGCTGGATACTGATCTGACGACCGAGGCACCACGTCCTGCCAGCACGAAATCCGACTTGTCAGGGAAGATCATCCTCGTGGAAGAGTTTCCCAACACTTTTTCAAGGTCTTCGACAGCCTTAGCCTCCTTTCGAAACACCCTCGTGGAGTACTTGGCGTCGAACATGCCCTCGCTCTCGAATTACGGGCGGCGGTCTGCCAATGAGCCCATCACGCCTGTCGTCTTAGTCATCTCAGAGACACTACTGACCACAACGTCAGCTTCGGCAGATAGCTTCACTGCCCACCGATTGCTTGGCCCCGAGATCTTGCGGCACCCTGGGACACGGGTTATAGAGTTCAATGCCGTTGCGCCTACCCTGCTCGCGAAAGCGCTGGAGTTGACCGTGATGAAAGAAGCACGCAAATCCGGGAGGAAGCGCACTCCAGGACCTCAAGTGCTGAAACGCCTGGGCGAGATAGGGGATATCCGCAGTGCAATCTCTTCTCTGGAATTCATGTGTTTGAAGGGTGATCAAGACGCGGATTGGGGAGCCAAGGTTGCCTTGAGCAAGCAGTCCAAGGGCGCCAAGGCGGGCATCTCTCTTACAAAAGGAGAAGAAGATACCTTGGAGCTCATTTCTCAGCGCGAGGCGAGTCTTGGTATTTTTCACGCGGTTGGAAAAGTGGTCTACAACAAGAGGGAGGAAGCGCCCTCAACGACGAACCCAGCTGAACACTTACCGAGCTACCTCGCGCATCACTCCCGCCCGAAGCCATCGGAGGTATCGGTTGATACGTTGGTGGATGAAACCGGTACAGATACACAGACCTTCATCTCTGCTCTTCACGAGAACTACATGTTCTCCTGCGAGAATGTGCCCCCCTTCGACGCCTCGACACCCCTGGATTACGTCAACGGATGTATAGAATACCTATCCGAGAGCGACTTGCTCCTCCCGTCATGGGACTCCTTCTTCGGCGGCAGAGGCACCTCGAACTTTGGCAAGGACTCGGGAAGCCATGTCCTTCGGCAGGATGAGATTGCCTTCCACGTCGCCGTTCGTGGTTTGCTCTTCTCGTTACCGTCGCCCGTCAAGCGCAAAGCCTCGACCGGTGCAAAGGGTGCGGATGCCTTCAAGATGTTCTACCCGACGAGTCTCAAGCTGTGGCGGACAAAGGAAAAGTTTAAAGGCCTTGTTAACGTCTGGTCGACGAAGCTCATGAAGGGAGAAGAGAGCGCGCCGCGGAAGAGTCTTACGGAGGGCGCCAGCGCGTTTCGACGGCCCAAGCAGGCGGATATGGGTAGCTGGATGGCTAATCACCAGTCGAAGCCCAAGTCAACCCGGGAAACTTTGTCAAAGACGGACGGGAGCGCGACATCGGCACCGTTGCTTTCTCTCGGCAGCTCGGCTCGTAGGGAGATGCTACTCGAGCGCCTGCCGTACATGGCCTCCATTGTCCGCGGACGCAAGTCGACGCTGCACTCATTCAAGCTTAAGGATCTTGAAAAGGTTGTGTCGTTCCAGGGCATTGGTCCGCAGACGGGAGACGATGATGAAGCTGAGGCTGAGGACGCGCAGGAGATTGATGGTGTGATGACGGGTGACGCGTGGGCTACTGATAAGCCTTCGGAGGAGGCTTCACCGCGGAAGAAGGGCTCTGCGTTCCGGCATAAAGGCGATGGGTCTGTGGCCGGGTTAGCGGTGCAGAATTTGGTCATTAGTGATGACGATATTGAGGATGATTAACGGTTGTCTGTGCGAGGTGGAGGAAGAGAGATGGTTCTAGATTTGTACAAATACGCTCCGGGGACAAAGAGTGTTTCTGGCTGGGCTGGCGAGGAGTTCTTTTGGGTGTGGAAAAACGGGGTTGTGTTTGATGTTTTAAAAGGATGAGGTTCCTACGTAGGATGGGACACTATGGGGGAACGGTGTCTCTGTAGAGCAATATATAAAGCTTAAACCATGTCTTGATCATCATGTTGTCTCATGCGCAGTGTTATGGTTGAGAAACTGGTCCTTCGTGAGTCTAGCATTTGTGTTGTACTTGTTGTTGAGCGTTGCCTGGCGCTCAATCCCATTTGGTGACTCTCTCACAATGTGTGCTTGGTGTTCCCCAAACCACCGCCAGGCTCTTGTTCAGGAATTCTATTTGCCAAATTGGGTGCTGTCCAAACCGATATTGAGAGGTGGAACCGTGGTGTCTAGTTATTTCCTCATAAAAAGGCCACTGTTGACTGCTCTTTTGGTGAAGCGAGGCAAGCCAGTGTCATTTTGTGCACATTTTTGTACAAAGTTGTCCCTGTTTTGAAGCAGGATGAAATGTCTGTTTAATGGGTTTTCAGCCAAGGGAACAGGTCTATATCGATACCTCGGTATCTCCCACCTATATTATACCTTCATCCCTTCACTTAGCTTCGCTCGTTGGTAGTATTCAGGCTGGAATACGTAGAAAGAGAGGACAGATTCGGGAAGAGATAAGCTGGGGAACATGTCCGAGTGCAATGCATTGAATGTTGTTTACCGCTAGTTCTAAGGCAATAGAATCCAGCGAGTTTTCAGAGACTTATGTTGCCTCTGCCAACAACCAGCCCAATGGCCTGTGGGAGTAAGAAGTACAAGTTCTGCTATAAATGGCATTTTATAAGTGCTACTAGATAACGTAAATAGCCAAGGCAGAAGGAGCCAGTTGCCGACGATCAGACTAAGGAAGATGCTCTTTTGAGCTGGTCTCGCCTCAAGACGGTGAAGGTGTATCCGTTTCTTGGGAGGTCGTCGGTATCTATGACTGCACTCAGACTTGTGAGTCAAGAAGGAGTGAGTCCTGTTGAATAGCTCGCCTCTCTACTTAGAATAACCCCCTCAGTTCATAATTAGTAGGCGTGCTCATGTGAACACTAGTGCTCCAGATTCTTCGAGACATCAACGTGGAGCTCCTTAGTTGTACTGCCGCCAAAATGTGTCGATACATAGCCGGCTCCAGCTATGGCGCTCGGAAACCGTCTTGATAGCATAAAGATATTCGTAGAATGAAGCGAAAGCATTTGCCATGCAAAAGCCACGTCTTGGGTTGCATGCCGTGTACATCCTCCTGATCCCTTCCTCTGGATTATATCCGCCTCTGCCGCGCATGGAGGAGGACATGGCTATTCTTGAAGCAGCGTTGGTTAGGAGGTTCAGAGTAATGAACAGCACTCCATCGTCTCGTATCATTCAGAAGGAAACTACCCACGTTGCATCTCGTACTCGGTTGAACAGTGTACGCCTGTGTTTGACCCTCAAACTGAGGTATCGAAGACAGGAATGCCAGCACTGGCAGTATAATTATCGCGATAACGGCCGCAAGATATCAAATCCACCACCGACCGCATTCTCGGTTCTTGTAGGTCCAAGAGACGTGCATGTCGCGAAGCGATTATGGTCAGAGCTTCCAGTTGCATACGGCTGGCTACTACTCAACGGGCGCCTTCAAACCACGTTTGATGAAACTTGGTTGTGAGCCCTGCTCCAACCCCACGTTATGACGTGTACGAGACAAACATGTTCCCAGAGTACCACATTATAAAATAGCTGTAAGTTCAAGCTAAAACTGGAGGCCTCTATATCGGCCCCCTTATGCTTGCCAAAAAAGGCAACTCATTGCTGCTCGAATGCCCATTGTCACAAGCAGAATCCCCCTCAGTTCTCCTCTGGAGATTTCTTTCTTCTCTATTTCTCCTCAAACAGCCACTGTCAGAGTACCCTGGTTCTTGTTTTATTAAGTTTATTACAATTAGAATACTCTAGCAAAGGTGATAGGCTAGAATTGGACAGGCTGTTTGGTATGAAGACACCAGAGTCGCTACCCGTTGACTCCTCTGTTTAGTCTCTAGCATGTTTCTCACGACAAGTTTCTAATGACAAGGCGTGGAAGAATCATAGGTTTCTGCGTCTGTTGCGCCTCGTAATACCAAAGGCTCGACTACCTAATGTAGCTCTTGCTCCTTTATATATAAATACTTAGCACACGACATCTTTAGATCCAACACCATGATAAGCCGGGTTTCCTTCGCGACGCGTCTCGAATAGCGTTCAGGGGGGGGCCCGGAGTATTTATGTGTTTTCAGCACTAATGATATACTTTTAAAGCACTGTTGAGTTTCCTGTCTTGAGATATCGTCCTCGAGCTCTACTACAAAGTACGTAAGGGCCTTGTGGTATTTGGAAATTCCACTATGTCCTGGTCAACCCAGCAGTTGGCCTTAAGTGCCCCCTGTATTATGTGAGGGCTGGCTTGCGTGATGGCCGAAAAAATGAAGCCAGATCCTACTATTCTCAGATCAGAGGAATCGCAAGTCATTTCCAAACAACCGCGCCCGCATCTGTGTCCTGCGGATCGGTAAGTGACTATGGATTTGAGTCTACCAAGCACAATGAGAGCCTTACAATATCTGATTGTTCGACTCAATTATTAGTGTTCTGTTGTTTGAACAAGACAAAAGCGAGTGGTTGAAGCAACCACTCTCTTCAATTCGGGTCACCGAGGAGCCTACCGTTTAAACCCTGTTACCAACGTTGATATCCCTGGTAATGAACGTACAAGCAACAGTACTAATTACAATGGCGTTGAATACCAAAATGTCGTAAGAATAATCCCACTACGTACTGTGGCAAGCACATTCAAGGCCAAGTAGATAGCCTCAACAGGGACGGGCCATTAGCTTGAGTTGCTGCTTGAGCACCACACACAATCTCTTCAACCAATTGCCCTAGTTTCTTGTTCACATTCTGACGCAGTCTGAATAAGGATCCGGACGAAGGTTCAGATTGCTGCCTGGCCAGACGTGTCCAAAATCAAGAGTAGAGAGTTGCCATCTCACTGACGCAAACACTCCCTATATGTGAAGACTCAAGCCTGGAACGTCAAAGTCTTGAACATCGAAGTTCGACATCACATATTACCATTTTGCTCACAAATTTCCTGGTAGAAAGTAGCATCATTGAGTTCTAGACTTGGACCCCCAAGGCGCTATGAAATCGGTCTTATCGTCTCCATCTCCAATGGAGAGCATTACCTCCTTGGCCTCGGCAACCCTAGTGAGGCTCCATCATCCTTAGCTGCGGCTACTTATCAAGTAGCCCTCCATCTCATAAATGCTCTGCATCCCGGATGATTGATGCAACGGTTCCGCTCGCGCGGCGGCAGGAGCGTTAGTTAGCCTCGAGTCAGTAGTGCTACATATACCAACCTCTGTATCAAGATTGCAGGGTTCCCTCAACTCTCAATCGCATGTGAGAAGAGCCTACTCGAAACTGTCGGTGTCACTAACAATTTTCTATCAAAGGCAAGTACGACACGACAACCACTTTGTAAGCCATGACTTGGGAACACATGCGAGCGTCTAGTCAGTCCCCGAACCTCACACGCCGTCGACTGTTACAGGATGGGAATCTCCTATCCACTTCCAGGTTGCGCCCTTTCTCCCAAGGTCGAACTCCGTCGGCATCAATGCATACAGCTATGCAAGCACCACTAGATACCACCACCTTATCACCGCCTAAAGGGCGTTGTTTCACACAGACATTACTGACGGATAAACACTCAAGATTGATGATCAACACAAACACGCCTGTCGTCAATCTTGACTCCTCGAGTCTCTCTGCTCAGGGCAGAAAATCAAGTTCACGCAGATTCCATCATCATCCCTTATAATTACGAAAGACCGTCACAAATCCACGCCACACACCCCTTTCACCCCTCGTGTTTGGTTGCACAGAAACACAGTCACAGACGTCGCTGGACAAACGGGTGGAACACGCGGTTAGCCACCAAAAGCCCAAACCCAGATCAATGTCTCACTGATCCCACCCACCCCCAAACTTCTTCCCATCTCCACGTTCTCTCCGCCTCTCCCCGTGGAGAAGCGTCAAGCAAGGGAGTGGGAGACATTTGCAAGCTCAGACATAGGGCATGGTAACGTAGCGTATCCGTGAGATAAGGGGCCCCAAACTTTGAGGGGCGTCAAGCCATGTCTTCATCCAGAACCCATCCTCACGCCCCATTTCCCCAAGATATGAAGTAAACAATCCAGATCATTCTCCACAACCAGGGAAACAAGGTGTCTCTTGATGCCCACACGCCCGGCGCCGATGCCATCGAAACCAAACCTAGTCTTAGAACATTGCGGCTCCCTCCTACTAGGTCATCCAACTTCGAACAGCACACCATCCGTCCCGACAGAGTGTGTACGACGCACCGAACGGGCACGCTTTCCTTCTCAGTACTCTCATTGGCCAATGGCTTACCTCGTCCAATCCCTATTGTCCAAGATAAAGCTACGGGCGTATGTGTTACACACTCGAATTCCCCAGAAGGACCATGATAACAGAAACTACCACCACCACCACACAAGCACACACCATCCTGTCGTCTCAACCACACCCTCAGACTCCTTCCAGGTCTCCCTCCTGGCTCTAGATGTGAGAAACTTTCCCCTAGCTGCTTTGCTAGACCTACACATATCTGAACCGCCCAGGTGTACTTGGAATCGCCCAGGGTTATAAGCAGCCACTTCTCACACCCACCCCTTTCCACCAAGGAATTCTCCAAGCCCTTCCAGAGCCGCCTAGCCGCCATGGAACCGTAGCACGGCCCCATGGGGGCCCCCCACGCCTGGCTGCGCCATTGACTACCTATCTCTCCAATGTAGGTGAACATACCCTCGATTGCTCGCCCGTCGGCCTCCAGCCCTTCTGCGTCAGCGCACATA